GGCAGCGCCCCGGGCACCATGCGGGCCGGGGGGGCCGGGCCGCCGCGCAGCAGGTAGCGCGCGCCGCGCAACATGGGCTGCCTCCTGCTCGTCGTCTGCGCGTTACCTGCCGCGCTGCTCGGCGGCGGCTCCATGCGCCTCGCGGGCCTCCCGTGGCTCGGCTGCGCTGCCAAGGCAGGTCGCGAGCACCTTCTCCCGCTGCGCTCCCCCCGCGCTTCCCGGCTCCCCGCCTGCCCTGCCAGCCTATCTCGCCCAACACTCCCTTTTCTCTCTCTCTTCTTGTTTTGTCTCTTGCAGACCCTTCAGCTGTGCTGCCTCTGTTGCATTTCTCATGCCACCACTCTCACCGGTGACAGCATCAGTGAGTTAAGCCACGGTTTGTATCGCGCTCTCTTTCGGGCTGGGTGAGCGTGTGCGTGGATGCCTCTGCGGGCAGGCTGAGCGTTGCAAAGGAAGAAGCCTCAGGCTCAGGGGAACGTAAAGCGGAGCGATGTAAAGTGAAAGCGAGTTGGCTGCTAGCCCTGCGCAGGGATTCACTTGCTCAACCCTGTGCTAGGAGCAATACGAACAGGCAAAGCAAAAACATAATTAGGAGGGCAAATGCATTCATGTCCGTATTGCAGTTGGAAAGAGGAGCGTGCATGTAGCCCTAGCAGCAAAACCTCGTGTGTCTACTTTGGAACAGTGAAACAAAAACAGTGAAGAGATGCAAGGCAGTGCAGCCTGCGGGGAAAGTGCCTGTTTGTTACCAGTTTGCAAAGCAAACGTGTTGGGCTTGGTGACTTGGGGGAAGTTTGCAGTGCAGTGTATGCTTTTTATTGGGTGACAGTGTGTGGAGGGGGAAGTTCGCTACAGGAGCACTCCGTGGTGCAGAAGGGAGAACCTTCTTGCACCCTATGGTCCCTTCCCTGGGGGATTCCCTTTCTCCAGCAGCTGCTTACATATTTTTGGCCACCAGCCTGCTGAGTGTCCTGCCATTGATTAAGACCACTGGAGCAAAGTGAAAGCTCTTGATGTATTATTTCCACTGTCTAAGCAAAAGCGACCTATCACTGCTTATGTTTTCAGCTTCATGTGTGTCCAATGAAATCTATTCAGACAAAGAGAGTAATAGTTCTTGCAACATCTGTTACAGAATAAGAAGGATTTTTTTTCTTGTAACAGTGTATTTTGACTTAGAAAGAAAAGTAGATTGTTTTACAGTTGGAGACATGGAGATATTTAAGTGTTCATAGAGCACTTAGAGCTCTGAAATTAAATGGGGTTTAGGAAGCAGTTTATTTGCAGAATTCCCTGTATAACCAGGAGTAGATGCCAGTGGTCATAGTTCAACAATAGCTAAAATTCAGACCAATCTCCTGGGTAAAAGTGAGCTCTTTCTGGACAAATCAACAGCAGTACCTGAATGTACCTAGAGTTTGGCCCCTGCTTAAGTAGCTGCTGACTCATAGCCTGTCTATTTTTTACTTTTTTCAGGTGGTTGTGAATAGATTTTGGCCATGTCCTCACATATAGTTTTGTGATTATTCATATATTTTATCCAAAACAATCAACTTCTTTGACATTCAATTAGCAGAGGCCGACAAAGGGTTATTAGGTAGGATGTAATCTCTTTCTGCTGGAGGTCAGTTACAATCTGAAGCCCAGTCTAATCAAGTCACTACAAAGAAAGGAGGTCTCACTCTGTTAAGGCATTAATAAATTAATCCTTTAATCCATCTGAACAAGTAGTACAGTTCTACAAAGTCTCAGGCCTGGTCACTCTCCACTGATACAGTATTTGCTGCCTTCTTTGGGAAGGAAGGAAAGGAAGGAAAAAGAAAGCCCACAAACCATAACAGCCTTGACATTTAACAGCAAGTAATGCAGGGGGAGGCCAACATCTACCAGTCAGCTGGTGATGACAAATGTCTTCAGAAGCAGATTGTGGGAATGCTCACAGCCGTCCTAGTGTGATGTATGTAGTCAGACCTGTATATGTGCAGCCTATGGAGCCTTGGGGTTCCCTAAAATGAGGAAATTGCCTGTGTCCTGGTGAAAAACTGCTGCCTACTCTGTGACATTTGTTTTATTTATTGAGTACAAAAGCTGACAGTGAACTTCTTGCCATTGCAGATTATGTGTTTGTGACACCTGTCAAAGTGGATTCCAGTGGATCATACATTTCACATGATGTTTTGCACAGTACTAGGAAAAAGAGATCAACTCAAAGTTCAAAGAGTTCCTTGCACTACAAATTTTCAGCATTTGGACAGGAACTTCATTTAGAACTTAAACCTTCGACCATTTTAAGCAACAGTTTTATTGTCCAGGTACTTGGGAAAGATGGAGTCGCGGATTCTCAGGAACATGAAGTTGAGCAGTGCTTCTATCAGGGATTTATAAGGAACGATAGCACCTCTTCGGTAGCAATATCTACATGTGTAGGCTTGGTAAGTGTTTCTGTTTGTTTTTAACATTGAAACATTGGTGTTTTCATACGTGGAGCAGGAGTTGTTTTGGCAAAGGTGTGCAACTGATATAACATGCTGGATGCCATATTCTGTTTGATTTTACTCTTGTCGGTAGTTGCTGCAGCATTTAGCAGAAGTTTAGCTACGGTCCGTGATGTGCATGACACACTTTGTGGTTTTTGTTTTGATCATGCATTTTTGAGAAGAAAAGTCTAGACTGGTAATCCTGGTAATTAGTCTATGGCAATTTTTGTTTGTTATGGTTTGTGATGGTTTTATGCACGATTTGCTTGTTCTTAAGTAGATGCTTTTCCTGTCTATATTAGTCTTACTACAATTAAGAAAAAAAATCCATAAAGTTGTGAAAAAAGTAAATATCATACCTAGGTTTGTCAGTTGCTTTAAGGAAGGGTGGATTTCTCAATTCAGCAGGAGTTTGAAACCGTTTATGGTTTTTAAGTTACAATTTTAAACAATTTTGTATTTGACCTTGCTCATTGTCTGCAAAGAAATCTTTACTGACTGATGTAGTTCAGAAGAACCATGGACAGAATTCTTAGTTATTGGTGAGTCTTAAGCCAAAGGCCTTACACGTTGCAACCAGTCTCCTATGGATGTAGGTTAAAGCAAGGACATTTGCTAGTGTTAATCAAGAAATTGCTTCTTATAACTTAAGGTTCAGATGCTATGCTGGGTCACCCTCTGGAATTCTCTTTCTTCATAGCTTGTCCATAAGAGCTACTGAGCTGCATGGTGGGATCCAGGAAAGGCACTGGAGCTGGCCAGTGTTTCCTCGGAAATCATAGTTGGTGGCTTGAAGAGGATGCTGCTTGAGGAAGAGCTGTTGAATATTGAGAGCTGATTTTGAATAGTTATCTCTTTCTTTTTTGGTCCCAGTAAAAAACATACTTGAACAGTTGAAATCATGACTTCAGAGCAGATTCCAGGAATTGGATTAAAGTGGTTTTCTTTTTTCTTTCTTTCCTTTTTTTTCTCTCCTTGTTCATAGTGTTGAACAGTTATATCAGAGTTGCTTAGCTGTGAGTTTTTATATGGACTGTACCCTTTGTGGAAGCTTCTCTTTCAATACTGCTATTTTTTATCATATTTGTTCAAAAATCTTTTCACTTATTGCAGTATTTATCATTCCAAGGGAAATGCTCTGTCTACAACATCAGCTACAGTTTGGGTGATCTCCCCTGCTTGGTCAGGTTTTGATTTTTAAGTGTGTTTCAGGAGCTAAGTGGAGCTGGACTTGTCAAGTCTTGCTCAGAGAAGGAAGGTTCAAGTCTGCCTCGAGTCACAGAGAAACAAAATGTGGTGATCTTAACTGAGACTGAAATGGATCTTTTACCACTGTCTCGCCAGGGGTTGTTATGACTGGGAGACTTCACCTCGGAAGGGTTCGGGAACTCTTCAGAAGAAAATAAATATTGTGGCTTGAACAACTTTATTATGGGAGAACCTTTTCAGCACTTTATCTTTTTCTTCAGTTGCTTGCAAGGTTCAATAGATTTCACTTTGAATTGTTACTTTAAGCTAGTAATTGAAGTACATCTTTACTTATTTACAATAATCTTCTGCACAAAGGAAAGCCCTGTAATTGTTCCTTTCCCTGTACTCATTTATTAATTTCCGTGCCACTAATGAATACCAGGAAAATAACCAACAGGATTTTTAGTCATTAAGTTTGCAAGGCTGCCTTCTTAAAAATGTGTCGTCAGCGGTCTCTAATGACAACCACGTCATTTTTCACTGTGATCCAAACTCAGTAATCATATGTTAAGTCTGGACGCTGTGCCCTGATCAAGGGGACCTTGTGAATAGCCTCTATATCCTCTTTGCACCAACTGCTTTTGTCACTTGGTTGCCCTTCTTTCCTATTTGCTTTGTTCACTGCAATTAAACCGAAAGTGGTGTTTCTTCTATATGGTTGGTAGCACTAATCTTTCCATTGTTCCTTTCATTAGCAATAGCTTCCCTACAATAAAACCGCAGTGACCCATTCTTTCAAGCCTGGAACACCACAATGTGATTTGGAAGCAATTGCATTTCAATAGACTACAGGGACTCTTTGATCTAATTTTTTGGATGACCTAGAGTATTCAGTCATTCGGCTGCCTGTTATCTGCCATTGCCTGCAGAGTAGACTTTGGAGAGAGGTTCTGTAGGAACTGGTTTGTTAGGCAGAGTGACCTTAGCTAGCAGCGGAAAGGAGCAAGATGTTGTTGTTCTGGTGTGGGTCTCTTAAGGGATGTGGGTATCTCGCTCACGTTTTAATAGCTTAGTTGGATTTAAATCCCCACACTTTTATGCTGACTTCTTGATTTTAGACCAAGTGCTTCCACCAGTCAACACAAGTTTCTAGATGTATCAGAAGGCACATTTGAATCCATGTTCTGTATCTGAAAGAAACACTCTGATGCACTAATCTAGCAGATTAGGAGAATGTGCCCAAATTTACTGGGAATACCATCTCTTAATTTACCATCACCAGTGTTTGTGCTTTGTTTGCCATCAAGAAATGTGTTTTTTTTTTTCCATCAGGCAGTTCGTTGGCTTTTCAAATAGGCCTAAAGGAAGGATGTACTTCATATACCTCCAGAAAAAGGAATTCAGATTATCTATACAGAGTATATTACCTTTCTTGTAAGGTCAAGTAGAAATTCCTGCTGAATAGTCCTTCCTTTGTCAGTGTTCCTTATTACTTTTACTAGAACACTTCTGGTTTTGCAACAGGCCTACTTGGAGTTTTGGAGTTTGATTTAGCTCCTTACCATTTCCCATTTTATATATATATATATATGTATATGTATATATATATGTATGTATATGTATGTATGCATTCAGGCTACTGGAACATCATGCTGCTTTATCCTCTGTTTACATTCTCCAAATAAGTCTCTTCATTCTTCCCAAATTTAAGTTTTTTGCAAACTCCAGACTTGAGCTAATTTCTACTTATTCTAATTATAATTTATTATTGCTATTATTATTTAATAATATATCATTACTTATAATTGCCTTTAGCTAAAATTAGGAGGCAGACTATGCCAAATCCACATAATGAAGGGTTTTTGCCTTTTTTCTGAAGCACGTGGTGCTGGCCACTGTTAGAATAAGAAACTGATCTTAAGATTTAGTCTGTCTGTTCTGAATTCTTTCCCCTTGCCCACCCTCATACATGTTAGTATAAATGCATCAAAACAGATATCAGCCTTTTTTGTCGTTTTAACCTCACTTTGCTGCTGAAGTTGTCTCTAAAACCCTCCCTGCTGTCTTGCTGCTCTGTATATATTGTGCATGGTTTCTTTCTTTTTTATATGCTACCTTTTGTCTCCTTTTTATCTGATTCCTATGTGCTGCCTCTGTTAGGTCTATGTGTACATGATCTGTTGTATGGAGTAGGTGAGTTGTTTGCAATCACACGGTAAAGCAGGGCAGAATACAAGAGAACCCCAGAGCAGTCAGTAGTCTAGTTGTGTTCTAGAGGCATTTTAAAAAGTAATTTTTAACTATAAGTTTAGAAAATGAAGTCACTTTCTCCTTGTGAACAAGAGCCCTGCCTTACAGTCAAACAACCGTAGAAAATTACGGTATAGACCCAAACAGAAAACAGACAATAACGAGCATCATGAGTGAATTCCTTGTTATCAAATGACATTTGTGGGAATGTTGCTGCTGTTCGGTGGAGCAGACAGGTGAGGTTATATAGCAACTACAAAGCATGTGCCCCAGAAGAGAGCGAGGAGAGAAGAGAAAAAGAAATGTGTGCCCAACATAATGGGGACTCTCCTGCTACTACACAGATTAAGAGATATGCGTGGGTGTTGGGGTCAGAGAGAAAATTTCTGTAATTCACTGGAAAGAGCTTGGCCATTTAAAACTACATGATACACAGTTTTATTATTGAGGCCAAATTCAGCTGTAAAAAGATGTGCCAACATAGAGGCCAGAGGCGCTGCACCTGCTTAAGCTAGAGGTGAATGGGGACCATTCTCTGCTTTTTATTTATGTAGCTCAATTAGAGCAGTGGTGTCAGCTTCATGCACTGGCTGGTGCCCTCCTTTGTTTTTGGTAAGATGTGATTGAATCTTTCAATATAAGGGGCCCCTTTCTCTTGTCTCAAGTTCTGTTGTGTTTGTTAGTGTCTAGTCAAGGGAAGAAAAAGAGGAGGAAAGGATGAATCGGGTTACGCTCGCTGAGCTGTCAGAGGAGTCTGCAACTGGAGAAAGGGTTACATGTAGCACCAAGAGATAAACAGGAGATGTGTTAATTCAATGAAAGTTGTGCGTGCATGTCTGAGGGCAGGACTTTGCTCAAAGTATCAAAGAAGCCACAAAATTAAAGCTTCTTAACACAGTCTGGCCACCTAAGACGTAGGCAGGCAAGGCGACTCGTGTACCCATTCTTTGTAGTCATTTAATTGCACCCCATATTAGCATTATTTCAGTTCATGCTAACAACAGCTTCTTATTCCTCGAGCTCACACTTTAGGTCCAATTAAATATGTTGAGACAAATCCCCAAGTCCTTATTCAGACAAGCTCCCATCAAAATCAGTGAGTTAGACCACTAGTAAAAGTACAAAATCATTGCTATTTGCTGTGAAGTTCCTGTAGACAAACCTACAGCTGTAAAAATAGGATAAAGTTTGCCCCAGGGGGACTTTGAAGAGAAATTGAGTACAGAACTGAGGATTTGAATCATTCTCGAAACTATTTTTAGTCCCTCCACAAGTCAATACACAAAGCCTATAATTTTTGTTCTTATACCAGACCAACGGTGTCGGCATTGGGAACACACGTTCTCTGACTTTCCTGACCCTGCCATCGCTCTCCTTTATAAAACACAAACTGTGTTTTACAGGATCATAATTTTGTCCACCATTTGAGTAGACATTGCCCATTATTCACCCATAATAGTGTAAAGATGAAAGGAAGAATAATCTTCCAAGAAAAATGAGTTGTCAGTAAGAGGGAAAAGCTTGAGGATTGTACTAGGCAACTATGAGGCACTATTTCTGGACCCAGAGTTGTATTAGTTGTTGATGGGAAGTTAACTGTATGCTTAGATCAGCGACTGACCTTCTCTGCATGTTTAATAAGTACTGTTTAACTCTGCAAGACCAGGACGGTGTTGTCTCTGGCATTGTGGTCCTCCTGCTTCCGCCTGGGTGGGAATAGGAATTATAGGGAATGTTGGAGATATAATCTGCCTCCATTGGACAGAAGAAGTAACTGAGAATCTGTTTTCTTTGAAATTTATTAAAAACAAACAAACAAAAAAAAGATCTGAAACCCTTAAATGTATAGACAGAAAATTCTTTGGTTATCAGCTTTATGGGGTTGCTCCTTGAGCACAGAGGTCTGGGGCCACGGATTAGTTTGCAGGACTCCCTGTGGCAGCAAGATCATCTTCTAGCTTGGAGGCTCTACCTGTTGCGTCTTGCCCAGCTGGCAGGAAGAGCAGGGAAGTTGTTAGCGAGAGCATTTGAGAGCAGGCTTGAGGTGACACAGCTTGTACCCTTAAACCAGTTCCAGAATTAGGGAGCCAGCCTGTTTTGTATTGATAGGCAGTTCTTCCCAACCTTCTTTTTTAAGAAACAGCCTTACAACTTGCAAGGGAATTATACACATCATCTGTCCTTGAAGCATCAGCATTTTTCCTGCTGTAGCAAAGTCTTTCCACAAGGCTTAGTTCTCACAGTTCTCATAGAGCATTAGAGGGAAGATTATACTCAAATGCCCCCTTGGAGGTCAGCAGAGGATGACCTGTCTGCTCAGACCTGACCTTTTCAGAACAGGATGCCTTTGATGTAAATGAGTATTTTTATTTTAAGCATCCCTATTTTTATTTGGACCATGCCATCTCTGCTGATGCAACGCAAAATGTTCTCTTCTCTGCAACCCTGAATTGCTGAACATCTAATGTATCTCTCTTTCCATAAGCAGATTTTAATAGCAGGTTTTAGTCACTAATAATTAACTGAAACAAGGTTTTATTCCTTTCTTTTCCCTTCCTCTTCCACTTAAGGGAAGCCAGTGTTTGAGGAAGATACCAGGTCTGCAGGACTGGAGTCAAAAGCTTTTTGTTACCCAAAGCACAATGACAGTCTGTGCAAGCCCAAGTCCAGCTCAAGCAGCCCTAGAGCTCTGCAATGGCACAGGGTGTTTGGAGAGCCCAGGAGCACATCCCGCTTGGGCCCTGGCCCAGCAGCACAGCCCCCATCACTTAAGCAAACACTGGTATCAAAACTGTTCTCAAGTACTTTTCTTTTTTCTCCCAACTTGCCACGTCCTTAGACTCTATGTAAAACCAGTGCCCTGATTGCGATAAGAGCTTTGTGATTTGCACGCTTGAGCAGAATTGAGAACTTGACTTTGATTAAGTGTAAGCTGCCCAAAAGAGGCCATGACCAGTCTGGCAGAAAAGATCATGATCAGTCTGGACGGTCACTGAGAGGTCGTTACCACCTCCCAGCACTTTCCTTTTGGCACTTTCAGCTTTCTAGAAAGAAACTCTTCTAGAAACTCCACTGTT